TTTTCATCATGGTGCGCCTCAACCTCGCAGTGGCAGCACTCGCTGCGGGTGCCATCTCCGCCTCGGCGTCATCCTCCTCCTCCTCATCATCATCATCATCATCATCCACAAAACAGCTGCGCGGCGTCGCACCAGCAGACGCATCCAAGTACCAACCGACATCCAATGCAGACGGTAAGCCGAGCTGGACGTGCCTCGACGGATCCAAGCACATCGCATGGTCAGCCGTCAACGACGACTACTGCGACTGCCCCGACGGCTCCGACGAACCGGGCACCTCCGCCTGCCCCAACGCCACCTTCTACTGCGCCAACGCAGGCCACATCCCCGCCCACATCCGCTCCAGCCGCGTCGACGACGGCATCTGCGATCCAGAGTGCTGCGACGGTTCCGACGAGCAAGACGGCAAGGTGCACTGTCCCAATCGCTGCGAAAAGGTCGGCAAGGAATACCGCAAGCGCGCCACCGAACTCGAAAACCTGCGCAGAGCGGGCGCCAAGATCCGCGACAAGTACATCGCAGACGGCCGCAAGCACAAGGAGGCGCTCCACGCCGAGGTCGCAAAGCTCCAAGTCGAACTCGACGTGGCCACCGCAAACGAAGCGCGTCTCAAGAACGAACTCGCACGCGCAGAGACCGTCGACAAGGCGGTCATCGATGCCAAGTCAAAGACGCCGCTCTACGCCAAACTGTCTGCGCACCAAGACGCCATCCGCTCGCTCAAAGACAAGAACGCCGCGCTCAAGCACGAGCTCCAGACGCTCACGCTGCTGCTCGACGACCTCGCCAAGGGATACAACCCCAACTACCAGGACATGGCCGTCAAGGGCGCCGTCGTTGCCTATAAAGAGTGGCGCGGCATCAAGTCCGAGTCGCCAGCTGACGGTGCTGACGGTGCTGACGGTGCTGACGATGCGGCCGCGGCGGCCGCCGACGCCGTCGACCAGCTCGCCGCCGACAACGTCAAGCTGAACGAGCTGCTGGATGAGGGCAGCTGGGATGCCGAGAAGCTCGCCAGCATGCTCGCCGAGGATCCGCTCGACATTATGGACGGCGGCCTGGCGGGCACGGCGGACAAGCGCGTCGCGGCCGAAGCCGACGGCGGGCTGCTGTTCCGCATCCACGAGTACCTGCCGGACGGCGTGGTGCCGTACTTTGAGGCCATGGTGGATACGCTGCTCGACGTGCTGATCAAGGCCAACGTGATCACCGACGTGAAGCGCATGCGGCCCAAGGCGGACGGCGATGCCGAGCCAGAAAACGTGGCAGCGGCACGCCGGGCGCACTCGGAGGCGGCGACGCATCTGTCGCGCGTGTCGAACGACCTGTCGACGCGCAGGCACAAGCTGCGCGACTTCGACACGCGCTACGGCCGCCACGCCGAGTTCCGGGCGCTGGAGAACCAGTGCGTGTCGCGCGACATGGGCGAGTACACGTACGAGTACTGCTTCTTTGGCAGGGCGACGCAGATCCCCAACAACGGCGGCGCGCACATCTCGCTCGGCACGTTTGCCAACTGGAATCCCAAGGCGGACGCCACGGTGGACAGCGACGAGTACTGGATGCAGCAGGTGTATGCGCGTGGCCAGCGGTGCTGGAACGGCCCCGAGCGCAGTGCCATCGTGGACCTCGAGTGTGCGACGACCAACGAGCTGCGCGACGTATTCGAGGCGGAAAAGTGCATCTACTCGATCCGCGTCGCCACTCCCGCCGTGTGCTTCCCGCCCAACACTACAGCCTCCTCCACCGCCACGCCAGCGGCACACGAGCACAACGAGCTCTAAACTTGCATCCTTCTTCTTCTTCTTACTCTAGTCTCATACCCTCATTTTTTGGGGGGGATCTACAAGATATGCACATACAAAGCTACAGTCCAAGGACAGGCGTGATAGTTGGGGGGGAAAGGGGGGCAAACCAGAAACCCAAGATGAGGATGCATTACTCTAGGCGTAGGTGTCGACGAGGGCGTCGCGCAGTTCGTTGACGGTGTCCTGACCGTTGCCTGCGCCGGTGAGGCGGAAGACGGACTCGATGACGCTGATCTCTGTTGCGGTGGCATCGGTGCCGCAAAAGGCGGCAAAGTCGTTGACGACCAGACCGGCGCCGATCAAATCCGAACCACGGTTCACCGTACCTGCCACCAGGGGGACTTGGAGGAGCGACGAGAGTTCGTCCTGATCCTGAAGCGAGGTTCGTGGATGCGTCAGAGCGCCCTGATTGGAGATGGCCGAGTAGGATCCGACGAGGACGTTGTCGCCGACGGTTTGGCGGAAGACTTCGACCTTGAGCACGTCGGCGATGATTTCCTCGGTTTCGCGGTCGAGGTCCGGATGGACTAGTGCGACGTAGTCGTTGCAGGCGATGACGTTGCCGAGTGCCGACAGACGCTCTTCAACGCGCTGGATGGCCACCGACTCGGGCAGCGAGTTTCTCAAGTGCTGCAGCTCCTGATCCGTCGTAGTCGAAGGCACGAGCAATCCGTGGCGGTTACCAACGGTGAGACGACCCACCAGACGTGTGCCGGCGATGGAGCAGTGTACGACAGGAATCACATCGGCGAGTTCGGCCTCGAAGGTGGAGTAGAAGTTGGCACTGCCACCGATGGCGACGAGACAGTATGCGTTGGTGAGGCGTGCAAAGACGCCGATCTCGGACGAGTTTTCGAATTGACAACGCACCGCCATGGTTTGCAATGGGAAGCGCGGAGCAGAAGAGTGGGGCAGTTGGCGGCGATGAGTGAGTAGGTAGAGGTAGAGCCAAGTATGGGTGTGGCTCGTTTGTTGGCAGGTATGGATCGAGAAGCGACCGACGATGGCAGTTTATATGACTGTGCGAGGAAGGAGCGATGATGTACAGAAGGCTCAGTTGGGCTGCAAAGCGCCGACAGAGTGGAGAAAATCCTGTGCGAACGGCGGCGGCGGAGGGCCAAAAGTGGAAATTCTTGATTACATAAGCTTGAATGCACAACTTCGGATCTCGCATGTCCTCACCCCCGATATTATTACTGTTGCCCGAGTCAAGCGCGAGTCACGGCCTCGAGCGCGCAGCAGCCTGACTCGCTCGACCAAAACGGATCCCCGCGGCGGATGGCAGACTTCGGAACTCGGAGCCTAGGCTGGAGGGCCAATTTTTCGCGCCGACATCCATCGCGCATTCCACCTGGCAGTAGCAAGTCTCCCTGCACTTTGTCTTTGCATCAAGAGCCGTCTGTACAGCGGTTCATCACATACACAGCACTCGCGCCCTTTCCATTCACCCCAGCGCAAGCTCGAGTCTCGCCCATCATGGATCGTAAGTGCAGCGACCGGGAGAGTGGCCCCGAAGACGAAAAGGCTGGCTAACAAGGTTTTCTGGCACAGTCTCGGGACTCTCGTCGTCGGAGCAGCAGGCCATGTCGCGCATCATTGAGCAGAAGCAGATGAAGGACTTCCTCAAGCTGTACACGGGACTGGTGGAGCGATGCTTCGAGTCGTGCTGCAACGATTTCACCTCCAAGGCGCTCAGCTCCAAAGAGGTAGGTGCAAGCTCCTTCCGCGAGGCGCAACGGCGAGTTGATGATGCTGACACTTCTGCTGGTTTTGGCCACTACAGGACACGTGCGTGTCGAATTGCATCCAGAAGTTCCTCAAGCACTCGGAGCGTGTGGGTGCGCGCTTTGGCGAGGAAAAGTGAGTGGTAGCCCCAGCGACACCGTTGCACGAATGACGATGTACTGACTCTGAATCTTTGACGGTGTACACAGTGCCAAGCTGATGGGGCAGCAGCAGAACAAGTAGATACGAAGCCCACTCGAGGCGTTTATGTACGATGCAAGCAAGCCTCTCCAGCTACAGCGCGATGGTTGCGGTTGTGTTGCTTTCGTGATTGCGTTTTGTGAGAGAGAGAGGGAGGGAGGGAGG